CTTTGATGACGCTGTGATTGCCTTCTGTTGTGTTCTGTGGAATGTGGTTCAGAACACTTGTTTCTCTTTCTGATACAGATTTTGTTTTGGATGTCCATCTGGTTTGATCTTCACGACCTTTCTTCTTTTTTCAGAATCGCTACTACGCCGCGGTTGCCTTCGAGATCGGTTACTTTCGATGCTTGATTGGATTCAGAACATGAGTTCTGGGCTGCTATTGGTTATTGGCTTTCAGACTGATTGTGAAGCCATGATGTGCGATAACTGATGCGGTTTACCCTCGTACTTTGAACTGATTTTCGTGACTCGTTTGTTGGGGCAATGATGCTCTGAACTGAGCCCTTGTCTGCGCTATGGTTTGTGCTGCAACTCGGTGTAGTTATTTCACATTTTTGTGACTTGCCATCTGAATTGGTTGAAGCTTGCCCCTAACTGACAATTCTGACCTTTGGTACATTGTTTGATGCAGCTTGATACAACTTGTTTTTGTATTTCATTTTCTTGTTCTGTTTGAACCTGCTTTGTGGTAGCAGTTGTAATCCAGCAGCAGCCTTTACTTGGTTTTCTTGAACTCAGAATCAATGGTGTTTTTGGTTGTGAATTTTCAGTAGCTTATGAACTGTCTTGTTTTTGAGTTTCTGTCATCAATTTGTACTGATGCTGTTGTGGACTTTCAGGTGTGGAAAAAAATGACTCAGACCTGCCGGCATCCGGGTCTGGGTCCAGATTGACCGTGTTGCCTTACTCTCGTATCAGTTTGGAAATCCAATTGCGGCAAAACGAATCAGTCCCGCTTCTTTTATTACTTCTATCTCTCGGACGTCCCTTATGATAAGAATAGATACTATCCGATCTAACGCCAACGGCGCGGGCCGGTAACGGGGGTAGGACGCAGCTTCGGTTGTGCCACTCCCGGCACTCGATGATGACGCTGTTCTGAGAGTGTCGAAAACAAACTCTAACATTTTTCTATTCTGCTTTGCTATTTTTTGATGTGCAGGTTGATCGGAGATTTTGCGGAGAAGCTCAAAGGACACCGCGAAGGACACTTAGAAGTCTTTAGGATTTAGGACTTAGAACTTTTAGAATTAATGTAATTCCTTGTAACAACATTTCGAAAATGTGAAACAATCTCCTCCTTCTTGTATAATGAGATCTTTATGAAATAAAATTCCCAAAACTTGAATCTATTTATATTTATTTCTAGTTAAAAAAATTATAAACATTTGTGAATAAATCCACAAATATTTAAATTCATTAACATAGTCATAAACCATAAACATTCCCGAATGATATTCTTATTCGTGCACTTGTCTCATTTGTAATCTTAATCTCATCATCTGATTAAAATCCAATTTAAATGCTAACCAACCATTTCATAACCAAACGCGGATGTGCACCGTAATCACAACAGTTTCAGCATCAACAATAACATTACTCGTAATTAAATTCCACTGACCAAATGCCAAGAGCCACAATCCAATAATACCCAATTACGACTGTGCCTTATTAACAGAACCTGAAGTGCTCTGGAAGTAAACCATGAGTGATGAAATGGATCTTAAATCCAGTTGTGCCCGACAATTTTTGATACCGAACACATGGAAATGGCGCCTTGATATAATCAAACCCGGTGATAAATAAATGCCTCAAAAATAGTGTATCAAATGCCTCAGAACTTAATAACAGCCCGTCTTCAAGGAATTAGCAGAATTTGCGTAAAATGACCAAAATACCCCTGGAACCAAATCTGCAAAACAAACACCTCCATGACTTGTTAATGGTTAGCAAATGCACAGATGAGATGATATGCGAAATGACTGATTAAACAAACATATGTTCTTCGTAGGCCGAACTACGTTTGCTCTGATCTTTCATGCTGTATGAAAGTACGTAGGCACAAGATGCGATATCTTGGCGAGCAACCTTTCCCCCATAACCCGTAGTTAGGCGAACTACGTTGACTCTGATTTCTCGTTCCAGACGGGAATACGTAGGCATAAAATGCGATACTTTGCCGAGTCATTTTCTTTTATTTTTAGACCAGACCTTAGCGTAGATAGATTTAACAAACCCGTCAGATAAACACAACAAGCGTGGATCCCATCGAGTACGATGGACGTGAGGGGTGCTAATACCTTCCCCTTGCGTAACCGACTCCCGAATCCAGATAATGGTTGCGATGACCTTGTCTTATACCATTTCGTCAGGTTTTTCCGATCGTTTCCTTTCCCGTTCTGAGGGATAAATAACGAAAGGTGGCGACTCTTCTGTTTTGCCGACACCTTATTTTCGCGGTAGTGACACACCTCTTCATCTACCCGCAGTACCATCACTTTGGTTGCCTTAGTTCTAGGGTTTTCTTTGATTCGACCAATTTCCTTCCTGCTGATTTCGACTAGTTGAATTGTTGTAGCTTCCTCTACCTTTGTTGCCATTCCAACTTCCTTTTCCTTTCCTTTCCTTTCCTTTTCTGACTGCGCTTGCAAAGCCATATCATTCTTCGAATTTCCTGCAACTCTCTCAGCCATCCTTTGTTCATGAGACTCAAGCGTCCCTTGAAGCTCTTCCTTCGTCAACCTTGATAAGTCTTTCAACTCTTCTATGGCTACTACCACGTGGTCGAACTTTGGAGTCAACGACCTCAAGATTTTTGCAACAACTGATTTTTATGTCAACACTTCTCCACATACCTTGATTTGATTCATTAGCTTTGTAACTATAGTGAAGAAATCTAATATACTTTCACTTTCTTCCATCTGAAGCAATTCATAGGTTCTCTTATGAGTTTGTAATGTCACATCTTTCACATTTTCTGTGCCTCCAAACAACTTTTCAAGAATCTCCCATGCTTCCTTCGTCGATTCTACATCACTAACCTTTTCAAAATTATCTGGATCTACATATTGATGGATTATAAAGAGATTTTTATAATCTTTCTTCTTCAATTCTTTGAATGCAACATTTTTTTGATCCGTCGCATTTTCTGCAAGCGGTGTTACTCCTCCTTTCATAAGATCCCAAAGATCTTGATAACAGAAAACCACCTTAATATGCTTGCACTAATTCTGATAGTTATCTTTCTTGAGAATTGGAAGCTTTGTCGGAAAGTGCCCGTTTGGATGATTCGTCGCCATCGCAATTTTCCTTCCTTGAATCGTAATCGGAGCTCTAGGTACCAGACGTTGAAAATTCAACCACAACCTATGGAGAATTTCACTCAATCAATCTTGATCTCAAGATTGTTTCAACTCACATAATGACAATGATATAAAAGTTTAGAAAGAAAGAAAGAATGTAAATGTTGGAGAATAAGAAGATGAACAATTTTCTGCAGAGAACTCTCAGCCTACAAATTGTGGAAATTCTATTATTTCACTTGCAGCTGCAAACTGTGAATTACAAAATATGATGAGATGAGATGAGATGTTTACAAAATAAGGGTTTCTCCCTATTTATAGATTTATGTTAACCTGCACCCCAAACCAAAAACCAAATTATAAAAGACCAAAAATATATAATCTAATCTTTCTAAATCAAATATGATCTTTCTGAATCAAATCAAATCTTTCTAAAATAATGAATTACATATTTAACAATATGTTAATCTAAAGGTTCACAGTGGTCTCTTTACTTAAAAAGAGTTCATATTGGTCACTTAACTCTTTAAAATATATCATGTTTGTCATTTTCGTATAATTAGCAATAAATTTAACGATAAATTTTTAAGTTTTTCGTTACTAATTAGAAAAAAAAGACTAACATAATATATTTTAAATTAGTTAGTGAATTAATATGAATTTTTTTAAAAAAAATTATGATACTAATATTAATCTCAAAGTTAAATGTTCGATTAAAATGGATAAGTCAATTAAAAATATTATATATTCTTTTTGGTCTTATTTATAAGAGAAAAACAAATTTATTATTTATTAAATAATCAATTATTTGATTCATTATACATTTCAGAGGTAATTTTTTTAATAAATAAAATCGAAGATAACATTAAAGTTTGATAATGTGATATCAATTGATTTGACGTTATGATAACAATTAATTTGAATGTATACAAGAAAGTTCATCTTTAATTATGTTGGTAATTGTACCATTAGTAATAGGAATGTAATTGGATTTCGAAGCTTAAAGCACTTAGTGACGCAAACCAATGAAAAAGCGATTCCATGTAAAGGCTATCAATATTAATTGATTTGAATAAGGGATAAAGATGACACGCTTTAATTTTTCTCATTAAAAAACTGTAGTTATTAATGGAGATAAACTTCATACATAATATTCTCAGTGATCCAATTATAACAAAAATTAGGACAAATTACAAGCATTTTATGCTTATATACTTGTGAGTATTTTATTGTTTAATCGAAGGGATTAGAAAACGTGTTTCATGAGATAAAGGGAACTTAAAGAAATATGTATTACACAACTAAAATGGTAATGACAAAATGATATCTGAAAGTTTACCGATATTGATACTATTATTCACAGTTTTTATGATAAATAATAAATTATAATTAATTCTCAATGTAACGATCACAATCACCATTATAATATTTATACCTACCGAAATCGCAAAAGCCATTAGGTGGTGACTGAAAAATGACTACACTTTTATTGAAACCTTAGTCTTACATTAACATAGCTCTCGTCGAGCACAGTGTGAATAAGATATAGTTAATGTGTGACAGCATAATCACACTAAAGTTGGTGTAATATAGCGTGAGTGTGTACTTGTTTGTATCCACCTTGTGGGGACAGTCATATTTTTCTTCTCTGCATGTGCTTTGGCCACTCTCGGCACAAAGAATATCTTAGTGTTGTACAGAAACATGTCATGTTATTCTATATATCTATATCACTATCTCTACTTCATGGGACAACACAAAACGCGCTTTTATAGTCTCATTGGTCCAATTCAATTCCTATAAATACCCCCATATCTTATGAAGTGAAACCTCAATTGTGGCATTTCAACATTTTTAAATATGACAACTTTGAAAGTTCTAAGTGTTTTTTTCTTTGTGTTGTTAGGTTTTGGCATATGTTCTGCCGCTAGAACACTCCTTACCTTCGGTGTAGATCATGGCATTGGTGGAGGGTACCATGGGGACATTGGTGTGAGTGGAGGTGGAGGTTATGGTGGTGGTGGAGGTGGAGGTGGAGGGCATGGTGGTGTAGATGGATATGGAGGAGGAGCTGGTGGAGGTGAAGGTGGAGGTGCAGGTGGTGGTGGATATGGAGGTGATGGTGTTGTTGGAGGTGGTGGAGGAGGAAGTGGAGGTGGCGGAGGTGGTGGTGAGGTTGAAGGTGGTGGATATGGTGGAGGGGCTGGGAAAGGTGGTGGGGAAGGATATGGAGGTGGTGCTTCACATGGTGGTGGTTATGCCGGTGGTGGTGGAGGTGGTAGCGGTGGTGGTGGAGGTGCTGGTGGTGGAGGTGCTGGTGGTGGTTATGGAGGTGGAGAAGGAGGCGGAGCAGGAGGTGGATATAGTGGAGAACATGGAGGTGGATATGGTGGTGGAGGTGGAAGTGGAGGTGGTGGAGGAGGGGGTGCTGGTGGAGCACATGGAGGAGGATATGGTGGTGGTGAAGGAGCTGGTGGTGGATATGGGGGTGGAGCAGCAGGTGGTGGTGGGGCAGGTGGTGGCTCTGGTGGAGGTGGAGGTGGTGGAGGTGCCCATGGTGGAGGATATGGTGGTGGTGCAGGAGGTGGAGAAGGCGGTGGCCACGGTGGATATTATCCTTGAAGTACAAGAAAATCAGTGTTATGAATGAAAACCTAGCTCCTCCTAAGAATAAGATATGGTTACGAGGATGCTTTTAAACTACTACTATAATTTATCTTTGTACTATTTACGTGAAATGTGAAATGTTGAATGAAAGAAAATTAATGTTCTATACTCTAAATAATTATCATTTATATATCATGATATGCCATTGCTTTGCATGGTATAATTTCAATCAATTACTATATTGGTATTTGCGCAATTCAATTAAGAACATAAGTCTAATTGCTCAAACTCTATGAAAGTGAAATTTCTAATTAGAAAAGACTTAAACCACTTCCAGAGTTTTGTCGGATAGTTTTAAAAGTTCTGTAAGACATATTATCTCCCACAACTTCAAAATTTATTAGGGTTAAATTATACTTTCTATATTAGCAAATTTTATTTTTTTTTAAATATATTAAATAATTAATATATCTGATCTATATATAAATTAGATATATTAATAATTTAATATATTTAAAAACTTGTTTATAAAATAAGAGAAAGTATATAAATAAAATATTATAAGAGAGAGTATATAAATAAAATATTATAAAATATTCGTCAAATTAACATGTAACTAAATAAAAGTTCTAATTATTTTATCGAATTAATTTGATAACGGCTGTGTGAATTTTATTTTGGCAAGTCTTCTTTGAATAACTTATCTTGTTTTTCTCCTTTAGAAAAAAAAATTCAACACTAATCGAAATTAAATGTTAAATATGTATAATTTTTAATATATATATATATATATATATATATATATATATATATATATATATATATATATATATATATATATATATATATATATATATATATATATATATATATATATATATATATATATATATATATATATATATATATATATATATATATATATATATATATATATATATATATATATATATATATATATATATATATATATATATATATATATATATATATATATATATATTAATTGAGATGCATTTGATAAAAAATATGATTTTGAAATAATAAAATAAATAACATTGTCTAAATAAGATCAAAGAAGAAATTGTGACGTATAAATTATGAGTAAACAATTAAGTATAAAATTAAAGACAAAAAGATAAAATTATAAATGAATATAATATGTTTGAATGATCATTATTCATGTAAAAAAAAAGCATTATTAAAATTATGAAGTTTTTTAAACTGCAAAAACAAGTAACTTGCCCACTAAAACAACCAAATGTTGTAAATGAGTTAAAGTTGGAGTACTAAAATAAAATAACTTGGTTGGAGTACTGAAATAAAATATAAGTGTTTGAATAAGGGGTAGTTTATTTTAGTTTTAAAAATAGTATTAAAAAAAATTATATTAAAATGATGAAATATGTAAAATAATATTTTAAGAATAATTATTTAAATTAAATTTTTATTTAAAATTTTTTAAAATTTTTTTAACAAAAACATGTAACAAGATGAAAACGATTTTAAGAAACTGAAACAAACGGATCAGAAGACTTTTTTTTTGGATTAAGGAGGTCAAAAGCTCAAGAAAACTACAAAGATATTATCCTCATAGAGGATTTGTCAAGAGAGATTGCTACATACATGTCCAGAATTTCTTGTGGATAACTATCATAATTTCTTATGCTTACTTTAGACATAACTCCAAGTTTTCCAAGACTATTAGTACAATGGTTGGCTTCGCAGTACACGTGCACCACTCAAACTTCCATAATCTAACCCAACTCCTTGCGAATTTGACAAAACACAGCCAAACCTACTCCGGTCCTACAAGATTCAGCCAAACCTATCTTGTTGGATTGCAATCTTGCAGCACATGAATGGTGGAATCTTTTGTTCCAAGGCACTCAGTACAGTAAGGATCACTTAACTGTGTTCTAGCCAAAATCAGTTTAGTTTTTATGCCATCATGGTTGACAAGTAAAATCAACATGCAAATTCTTTTCGGGGCGTGAACTCACCCTCCACTCTTTGTAACTTATAGATTTTTAAGTGCTACTGAGGATCGAGAATGCATTAGCTATGGTGAACTCACCATTTGTAGTATCTATCCATAAGCAGATGTCAGTATCATTATTGTTTGTTGGGGGAGGAATAACTTTTATCTTCTTCAGAATATCTTGATCAAACCTCATATTGTGAAGACTCCAATTCTAATTGCCATCTTCTGCCTTCAAATCAGCTGCAGTGAGATCATCTTGGTTTTGATTTGAATTTGTCATACGATCCTTTAAGACTAACCCTAGTGCCACCCAACTATCATCTTACACATCAATTTTCCTTCCACTACTAATAGCCTAATACACCATGTTATTTATTAGAGCCCTAACTTGAGCCATACTCTTCCACAAAGTAGAGTCCTTCCCTTTAGCTTCCAAGCTTCCTGATGAAGAGTTTATCCTTCCATATTTTCATTTGAGAACATCACTTCACAGAGCTTTATCACCACTCCTAATGCATGCTTTGTTCATGCTCACGAGATCCCTCAAACCAAGACCTCTCTGATCCTTAGGTTTAGCTATGTTTTTCCACCTGAATGTATGTATATGCTTGCTTCATGCATAATCACCCCAAATAAACTGCCTTTGAACCTCTTGAGTTTATTTCAATATGCTTCTAGAGACTATTCTCACTACAAGAAAAGATATCATTACCCATGTAATTTAGTGACGTGATATACATGTGACAAAAAAAAGGGTTGTGATGTGTATATCATGTTACTAGATATTTATATTAATTAAAAAATAGAGATAACGTCTGAACATGAGAAAGTCATAATTTTTTTTATAAAAAAATAGTTGTGATGTGGTTTCCACGTCACAACATAAAAGTAAAACTAGAAAATCAAAACGTTACGCTTTCAAGTGAAGGGAATTTTGAATTTTTCAAAATTTATGTTGTGGCGTGTAATTCACATCGCTACCTAAATTCAAAAAAAAAAAAATCAGCAAGTGTGAAACATGACTGTATTGAAATTGATGATTTGACACCTTTTATGTAGTGACATGAAGACCACATCACTATTTTTCTATGTTTCCAATTAGCGACGTGGAAAACACATGGGTAATTTCCTACGTGGGAATCACGCCGCTAGTAAAATTCAAAATTTTAAAAAAAAAATTGGGAAACATGACCCTGACTACGAATTGATGGGTCTGAACAAATTATTAACATTATAGTTTTGAGACATGAAAAACATATGGGTAGTTTTCGACGTGGCTTCCCTGTCGCTAATGAAATTCAAAAATAAAATAAAAAGAAATGGGAAATGTGAACCTAACTTGCAATTAATGAGTTTATTACCGTTGCAAGTTTCCGACGTGGGAAACACGTGGCTGAACATGCGACATGCTACCCACGTTGCAACCTCCCCTATATATTTAAAGGTATGAACTTCATTTATTTCTTCTTTTTTTCTCTTTCTTTTTTTTTTAATTTTAGTTTAAAGTTTTTAATTGATATTTTCTGATTTTAAATTTATAATCTTTGTTTGTTCAAAGAGTAATATTTAGAAGATTGAAGAACTCAAGACTCAAAATTATTGTTAAACCTTTGTGGTTGCTTGCTTCATTGAGGTATTATTGCAATTTCAATTTTTTTTTACATTTGTATGAATGAAATTATTTGGTTGTTGGTTGTTGCTGTGTAATTTTTTTTAGCTGTTATTAAATTTTCTTAGATTTTTATTAAGTAAAAAATTATAATATTAGATTTATATATTATAAAAATGTTAATATATTATTTAATATGAAAATATATTTTATTTTAATAATATATTATTTTAAAAATATATATAGATTTATCTAAAAAAGATTTTATGTTATATTTTATATTTAAAATATATTATATTTTATTAAAAACAAATATATTATATCTTTATTAAAAACATAATATAAAATAATATTGTTAGATTTAAAAACTAATATTTTTGAAAAATATATTTATTTTTATAAACAAATTAAAAAACAGAAAAATAGAAAAAATGTTAATTTGAAAATAATTAATATAAAGTTTTTTTTATAAACAAATTTATTTTAAAAAAAATAAAATTTAAAACTGATATTTTTAAAAAATAGATTTATTTTTATGAACAAATTTATTTTTAAAAAACAAATTTAAAACGAACAAAATTTGTAAACTAATTTTAAATAAAAAAAAAGAAATTTTAAAACAAATAGAAAAAATATGTAATAACTAGATATTATAATATCTAATAACTAGAAATTTTAAAACAAAAATGGTAATATTTTAAAACAAATAGAAAAGGTTTGATCACTACAAGAAATACTGTCAGTACCCACGTGGAAATCACGTCACTAAGGCCAAAATCACATCACTAACTGAAATTAGCGACGTAGAAGAAAACATATCGTTAGAGCATCCGTGGAAACATTTGGTCACATGAATATCACGTAATTAATTTGTGACATGGAAATCACGTCGCAATATACAAAAATATTAGACTTTGTTCCCATGTGAAAAACACGTCACTTAATTGTGACAAGTTTTTCACGTCGCTAACTATGGATTCTGAAACGCGCAGGGGTGTCAGACTTGGCATGGAGTGAAGTGAATATCACGTCTGTCATACCCCAAATTTTGACCTATAGATTTCATTATCATTATAGGTGAATCAAGCATATGTTATCTAACCCTAACCTCTTTCAAGTTAGTCTTTGTCAAGATGCAGATGAATTAGGGTTTCACACTGTTAAAATCAAGAATCATGTGGACTGATCAGACAAGGTTTTGGATTTATCTTCTACATATCAAGTCTTCATATCATCAAAAGGTTCATATCTTACCAAGAACAAGTGCTATTTGAGGTTGTTACCAAGAGAATTGAAGTAGTGTTGTGCAAAACCCTGATTAGGGTTTCTAGTTGAAAAAGTCAATTGTAGTTTGACTTTTGGATGGGTTTCCAAAGCTTGAACCATGGTCCATGATGTTTCTATGCCTTATTGAATTCCCCT